ACAATTGGAAGTTTTCTTTACGTTGATTAGATTATGCTTTTAATAAAAATGAAAACGATTTTGTGATTTCAAGAATAAATCAAATGTAAATAATAAAATGCCTATATTTTTCTTTTTTTTACATTACAACTCAAGCTTCTGTACGCAAATAATACATTTATATAATATAATTAATAAACAATTGGAATGTTACTTACTAATGAAATTAACTGCAAAGTATAAACATTTCGATTTTGAATTTGAGTGCGGAAGTACAAACCGAAGTTCGTACTTGGCTATAAATATTATTTACGCATCAGGAACTGTAAAGATAAAGATTTATATAAGCATTTCATTTATATTTGATTTATACGTTTAGAGAGTTATTTGATTTATACGTTTAGACTAGTTTAGAATAATCTTATCATAGCGAAGAAAATTTCCAACTGTTAAATAAATATTTTTCTGAATGCGGTCATTGCAAATTTCATATTTGAGAAATGTATTATTGGAAATTGTCTGTCTATTATTGTTAATCGATCTGCATGTATAAATCCTTTTTGAAATAACTTACAATATTATATTGTTCTACAATTGAACAATATTAGATCTGTGCAACTATATAATACTACATTTAATTTTCTACTCTTAATCTTTTACTTTTAGAACATAAAAATTTGGAGACACAGCATGTGTCATGACGCGAATTAACATAACATTGAAAACATATATTTGTATAACTTTTTTATATAATTTTTACACATCATTATTTAAAAAATGACATAATACAAAAAATTAAGTTTCTAAGAAATAAATTATTTGTCAACTTGACAGAAAATTATTGATTAATCAAATAATATCGGCAAAAAGAATATCGGCGAAAAGAATTCTTAATTGATCAAACGTCATTTTTCCTTTTACAATCTTTAAAAACTCTTTGTAAGGATTTTAATGGATTTTTAAACCATCCTTTTTTGTGACGTTTTGACAATTTTCATGAAATTACGTTACTTTCGATGCTTGATAGAATTATATCTAATGTTAGTTATATCTAATTTTTAAAGTAAACGAGTGATGTAGTGCACAAACATCGCACAGTGTCATAAAACAAATTGACAATACAAATCTGACGTTAAGCTCGATCGTCGTCTTTCGATTTAATTCAGGTTGCAACTTGTTTTATATTCAGTTTAAAATGCAGTGGCATTTCAAGAATGCGCTTTATCTCGAGCATTCCCCTCACAATTCGCGTAACACGCGTTTCTACGAAACGGCACGTTCTCGTAACCGCTTTTCTCGTCACGTTACAAAAAATTTCAGAATCTTTGTATCGTCTAAAGGGTCTTATATCATTAATCAATTCGTATGGGAGGTCCTATCGTACGAGTCATCTCTCACGCGGAAAATGTTTCTGGAAAAACGGCAAATGTCTCTGCAAATGTTTCTCAGGTCGCAAAATTCCAGAATCCTCACGATCTGTCCAGTTTGATTAGTCCACTAGACTAGACACACCGAAAAGATCCTCTCGCCCCGGGGTATCCCTTTCTGTAGGCCCAGTTCGCGTTTCTAGGAGACGGCACGTTTTTCCCGTCTCGCGTCACAAAATTCCGAGACCTTTGGCACGAGGTGGACCCTCAGTACAAGAGTCTCGTAGGGTCGGGCGTGGAATGAACGCCGACGGTAAGTCAGTTTTTCGCATACCGAGCGCTCAGGTAGGTAGAGGAAGAAATACATGGCGGTGGAGGAAAGGGAGCGAGAGAGAGAGAGAGAGAGAGAGAGAGAGAGAGAGAGAGAGAGAGAGAGAGAGAGTCGGCATGCAAGCAGGCGGGCAGGCAGGTAAGAGAGTTTGGTATGGTCTAGCTGCTCGCTGCCGCGAAGACTCGAAGACTCGAAGAGCGCGTTGAATGCCGGGGCCCGGCAGTCCCAGCACCAGCGCGTCGCCGACTCGAGAATCGAGGCTCCCCTCTCCAAGATGGCCGCCACTGGTCGAGCTGAGGCCCAGCCGTGAGCCCCCCCTGACCGAGCCAGGCGAGTCCGTCGGGTTAGGGGAAGGGTAGGCCTCGCAGGTGCCGCCATGTCAGTGCATGCCTAACCTCGAAGCCGCGCGGAACGGACGTTGGGCCCGACTACGCGATACCTCGTGCCACCGCTGTATCTGCGGAGGGAAGGGTTATCTAATCTTCCTTATCATTTTCGCGTCCCCGCAGCTCGATTCACAGCGACGGATTCACAGCTGCTATAACGTTATTTGTGGAGAAACGGCAGCACCGAGACAGCACGATCCTGTCTCCTTCGGATCGGGAGAAAACGGTGCGTGATCGAGGAAAGTGTTCCGCCGCCGATCCTTCGCGATTAAAGTAAGACCGCGTAGAACGTCGGACGCGAAAAGAGAGACGAGACGATCGGTGCGCGTCTCCTCTCTGTGAAAGCTGTGAAAAGAAACGGGCAAGTCGTATCTTTATATCGTGATACTTCGTATAATGAGGTTGGGCAAAGGGCGCGTCGTTATTCAACTATTCGCGATTTTTCGACAGGTGTACGACTGACAGTTCGGAGTGTTATTTCAACGACCCGTCGTCCGCAAGTCATTTGATTTTGTCTTCCTGGTATCCTTGTTTCTGAAATTTTGTTCCTGGACCAAACATACAGACTGGTTTCTCACTCTGGTCTGTTGATTCCGGTTCGCGAATCGATCGACGCGATCCGACGGACGGAGCGGAGCGTCTTACGGCAGCCGGTCAGCGGGGATGACAGCGGCAACGACCGGCCCGTGACGTCGTGGGACGAATCACGAACACGAAGCAGGACGGAGTCCGCGATAGCGTCGAAGAGTGCGAGGTGTCCCGACGAGACGGGAACACGACGGTCATGCATGACGCGGGACGATCGCATCGGGTTCGCGACCGGTCGTGCTGATCGGTTGTGCCGGTTATCGGGACGTGGATCTAACGCGAGGAATGTACCATATCTCGTCTTCATAGAGGAACTTGGCAAAGAAAACGAGAAAGGAGGGAGAAAAGTAGCACGATAATTTGATCAGCGGCCAACTTCATTTCAAACGAGCGAATCTCCGTTGCTATATTCTCGCGGAGCGAGAACATCGTGAAGAATGCGCTGTATCTCATTGTCGTAAAGGAACTTGGCGAAGAAAACGAGAAAGGAGAAAGGAAGAAAGGAAGTTTCGTCCAAGAGAAAAGTAGAACGTCGCGATAATTCGGCTAACTTCATTTCGGACGAGCGAATCTCCGCTGCTATATTCTCGCGGAGCGGACAACGCGAGGAATGCGCCGTATCTCGCTGTCGTAAAGGAACGTCGAAACAATTAGAATGTCGCGATAATTCGACCAACGGCCAACTTCATTTCGGACGAGCGAATCTCCGCTGCTATGTTTTCGCGGAGCGGATCGGAACACAGTTTGCGCGGCCGCGGGTAAATCTACGACGCGGTGAGACAATTACGCCGGTATTTGAAACGTTCGTGAAAAAAGGAGAAGGGAATCGGTACTTCGCGTGTGAACGTATAATAAAAGTAGGTTGTGAATACAGTCGCGAGAGACTCGTTCAAGGATAAAACAGTGATATTTGGTGGTTGCTTCGTGTTGGTGTTAATACAAAGGTTAGGTTAAGTTGGGGTGATAAGGAAAGTGCCGGTGAAAGAAAAAAGAGGGGAAAAAAACGACGAGGAAGGAGCGCGTAAAGTACCTGGAGGAGGAGGACACGAGGAATCCGTACGCTTCGCTTTGCATCGCGACGGCCGCGCCGTAGAGGATGGAAAGGTCGAGATAATATCGCGAGTGTCGAGGAGGAGGAGGAGGAGGAGGTGGTGGTGGAGGGACGGCCGTGGCGTGGTGCTGGAGGCCCCAGGATGTGGCATCTGCTACTGTTCCTCGTCCTGGGAGCGACCCCCGGCCTGGGCGCGACCCCCGCTCCGGGTGCGCTGCACGAGCGCGTAAAGTACCTGGAGGTGTCCGAGAACGTGCGGCCGGGCACCCGGGTGGGTTTCATCGACATTGACAGCCCGCCTTATCTGATAGCGCCGGTACCGGGTTCGCCGGTGGAGACCGATCTGATCATCGAGTCGGCAACGGGGGAGATAAGAACGCGGGTGCCGTTGGACCGCGAGACCCGACCGTCGTACAGCCTGGTGGCGTTGCCGAGAGTACGGGTGGTTATCACTGTGCTCGACGAGAACGATAACGCGCCCACCTTCGCCGTGGACCACGTGTACATCGAGTTCCCGGAGAACTCGCCCCGTGACGTCAAACGGCCTCTACCGCCGGCCTACGATCCCGATCTCGGCCAGTACACGACGCAACGTTACGAGATCGTGTCCGGGAATCACGGCGACGCGTTCCGATTGTCGCAGCAACGCGGCCGCGACGGCGTTTTGTACCTGGATCTTCAGATCGCCGGCTCGCTGGATCGCGAGATGCGCTCCCGCTATCATCTGGTGATCGAGGCGCTCGACGGTGGCACCCCGCCGCTCCGCTCTCATTTGAACGTCAACGTCACCGTCCAGGACGTCAACGACAATCCGCCTGTCTTCAACCAGACGCGCTACGACGCGAGCGTGCCGGAAAACGCGACTGTCGGCACGCCGGTGCTCGCGGTGAATGCGACCGACGCCGACGCCGAGGACAACGGCCGTATCGAGTACTCCATCAATCGCCGACAGTCCGATCGCGAGGAGATGTTTCGCATCGATCCGGAGACCGGGATGGTATACGTCAACAAGGCCCTTGACTTCGAGTCGAAGGAACGACACGAGCTGGTGATCGTCGCTCGGGATCGCGGCGCCCAGCCGTTGGAAGCCAGCACTTTTCTCTCCATCCACGTGACCGACGTCAACGACAATCAGCCGGACATCACCGTCATCTTTCTCTCGGACGACGCGACTCCCAAGATCAGCGAGAGCGCGCAACTCGGCGAATTCGTCGCCCGGATATCCGTCAGCGATCCTGACTCCCGGACGGAGTATTCGAACGCGACGGTTACCTTGACAGGCGGCGAGGGTCACTTTGGTCTGACTACGCGGGATAACATCATCTATCTCGTGGTGGTAGAGCGACCTTTAGACCGCGAAGAGCAGTCCGTTTACGAGTTATCGGTGGAGGCGACGGACGCCGGTACGCCTCCGTTGTGTGCCGAACGCACTTTTCGGCTGCTCGTCACCGACGTGAACGATAACGCGCCCAAATTCGAGCACGAGAGGTACGAGGCTCATCTCTTGGAGGCGTCCGAGCCCGGGACGTCGGTGATACAAGTGTTCGCGACCGATCTCGACGAGGGCATCAATTCGGCGGTTCGTTACTCCTTGGCGAACGCAACGTGGTTCGCGATCGACGAGACCACCGGAATTATCACCACAGTGACGCACGTGGACTGCGAAGCCAACCCGGCGCCGATCTTGGTGGTGTACGCGACTGACTCTGGACGACCGCCTCTCAGCAGCAGCGCGACCGTGCGAGTCACCGTTCACGATCTCAACGACAACGAGCCGATCTTTGAGAAGCCGCTCTACAATGCCACCGTGCCGGAGAACATGCCCGTCGGACGCTGCTTTCTCAAGGTAGGATTGCGAAAATCACTTTTCTCCCCTGCTGCGCGTCAAGAAAATGTCAAACTGAGACGTTCACATACAGTGACCCGGTTCTACCAAAAATGAGAATAACGTTAATCTCAGTTCAATTTATTCTTTATATATATTTTTTTAATTTTGCACTGAGAGAGAGAGAGAGAGAGAGAGAGAGAGAGAGAGAGAGAGAGAGAGAGAAAAATTATTCATCTGGCTAAATTAATTGTTTATTTGACTAATTGTAAGTTAATTTAATTGTCTTTATTTTGTTGGTGAATATATGATTTAAATCAAATATAATAATTGAATGAAAAAAATTTGATTTAAATATATACATTTTTTAGCGAAAGAAATAAAGAACTGAATAATTTAGTCAAATAAGCGATTTTAATCTCGGATCAGTTTATTCTTTATTTTTTTCTAATTTGCATTGCGAGAGAGAAAGAGAGAAATTATTCATTATTTTTGATTAAATTGTTTACTCGACTAATTGTAAATAAATTTAGTTGTCTTTATTTATTTCGTTGTTTATTTTGGAGAATGTATATTTTTAAGTCAAATATGATATATTCTTCATCGAAAGAAATAAAGAAAAAACTAAATTAATTTAGTTAAATGAACAATTTTTTTTCTCAACGTAAGAATTAAAAAAAGATAACGTAACTAGCTCGTTTACAATCAGTCAATAAGTCAAACGAGATTAAATTAATTTTATTGGTATGGAATCGAGCCTTAGCGAGCAAACAGCGAATGTTCATGATAGTCGTGTTTATTTATAAGACATTTGTTATTCTTTTCTTGATTTCTCACCGAGCGCCAGCATTCGATCAAATTCGCCGCGTACAACAATTGAACTTATGCAACAAATAACAACGAACAACTTTCGCGTTCGTTCGTAGACAATGAATACTTGGCTTGAGAGAAATCCCTTTATGACTTTGTGTGCGTTCGAATTTTGGTTAAACGTTTAATGTCATGTCAAGCCAGATGACGAGTGAACGCGCGGAACGCGAGAGTCTACAATGGGAACCGTTTTTCATCCTGTTAGCATTGTTGCGTACAAAGTGCGAGTGATATGTTTACGTTGCGCTTCTCACACGCCGCGGCCGTGATTTTAACGCTGCTCTCTTAACGCCGCGCTCGTTCACTCGCATATGAAGTCGTATATAGTAACGCTAACGGGCAATTGTTTCGTCAGTCGGGTTGTAACGCAAAAAGTTATACGGAATAGGTCCGCGGGCTGTTGCAATTTTGTGAATTGCTTGTCACGCCGTTTGATATCTATATGACGGACGGAATATTTTCCACACTTGTTCGGACTGTTCGCGAGTGTTACGGTCGGACGGCGTAACGCTGTCATCTCTTTTAACAAGTCGGTGTCTCTCTCTTGGAGCGTAATTGATATTTATATTTCGAGAAAGATAGATAGATAAAGTATTTATTGCTATTCAAGTCTTCTAAGAACACACGAAAGAAATAACGTTGAAAAGTGAGAAACATAAAATAAGGATTAAAATTAACGTGCGATTGGAGCAGAAATTTGGAGAGAGTATTACACGAAGATAAAATATATGTAATATAATATAGTAGATATAATAATGACAAGAAGAGTGAAGGAATAGATAGAAGCAAAATGAAAATAGCAATTAATATAAGATAAAAAAGCGGTAAATAAATTGAAAGATAGAGAGAGGGGGAGGGAGAGAGGGGAGAGAGAGGGGAGGGGGAGAGAGAGAGAGAGAGAGAGAGAGAGAGAGAGAGAGAGAGAGAGAGAGTTTGATTCAATCTTGAGGTGTTCGTTATATTAATTTGTTATAAACTAGCGTTTGAGAAAGCGGGTCGATCATATAGAAGTCACTAGCCGCGCTCGCGAATGCTCACCAATGCAAGATCGAAGTTTAATTGACACACACTTGAGAAATCATGATTATTCATACCGATCGATTCAATCGAAGAAAATCCGTCATTGGTCTTTATGCCGCGAGCTCCTAATTGACCCGTCATCGGAATCGATTGCGCGAGACATTTACCGGCCGTGTTGCACGCGCTTGCGACGATCAGCCTCTATAAATTAATATCTTAAATGTCGCGTCGCGTCGGCACGAGAGAGTGACGCTACACACCCGGTGGGTACTACTTTGCGTTTAACCCTTGCATAATCCACGTCGTTTCGCGTAAAGTCACTAAGATTCACATCAAAGGTTCCTCGATGCAGGCGGGCGAAAGGGCACGAATGAACGCTCGTAATCAGCCGCGGGCCGTTAGGCACATATGTTGCTGGGAAAGCTATAATTTTAATCTTGGTTCAATTTATTCCTTATCTTTTCTTTTCTAATCCTATAACGAGGAGAAAAAAATTATTTATTTGACTAAATTAATAATTGTTTGATCAAATAAATAATTTTTTTTTCGGTGTAGAATTATAGGATTGCCAAACTGGAAATCAGAGAAAGGATTTTGTGAATTTTTTTCTGCAAAATTAAGATTCTTGATTTTAAAGAAGTTTAATGTACACTGTTAAAAATTTCAAATTTGAAATTTAATGTACTTTTAAGTTACACAATTTGAATTTAATTTAATGACATTATATTAAGTTTAATGTATTTATAAAAGTATATTTGTACACGTACATGAAATTTAATGTATTTTCATGAAATTTAATGTACTTTTCATAAAATTGTATGAAATTTAATGTACACGTTCATTACATTTAAGTAACTATGCTTATGTAACTTACACTGTTAGAAACACGAGCTTCCTTTACATGTAAATGAAGCTCGTGGTTATGAACGAAATTAAAAGTGATGAATGATTTAATTGAAAATTAAGTTACTATAATTACTTAAATGAAATGAACATGTAATGAACATTAAATTTATGAAAAAAATACATTAAATTTTATGTACATGTACACAAATATACTTTTTAGTTATAAATACATTAAATTTAATATAATGTATGAAATTAAATTCAAATTGTGTAACTTAAAAATTAATAAAATTTAAGAACATTTCTAATTTCAGTATATGTCACACCTACTCAATTTTTTCGAACTATTAATAATTAAAAATGCAAGCAGCGTCAGCAACATTAATAGTAAATTTCAACGAAATATTTAACGGTTTCTAAATCAGCACGAAAATACACAATATTTTAACATAGAAAGGGAAAATTATAGAAAAAGGGGAAAAATTATAGAATTTTAAGAATTTGTGGCAACTTTGAATTAGAACTCGAGCGAGAGAAAGAGATGATATAAATGGGAAGGAATAAGATTTTTTTTTCGGCTGTTTCAATTAGTACCGGTGGGCATTCAGCATATCGTCAATTATCGTTTCGTTTTCTCATTCTGTGAAAAAGGGCACCTGGAGTGAAATACATCCGCGCTATGCTTCATTTGCATACGGCCCGCGCGTCTTTCTCTTCGCGAGGAAAGAGAGGCGGAGTAGCGGTCGAGAGCGAATACGAGTAGGAGCCACGAGCGGCGACCTGAATGAGGAAAGAAGTGTTGCGTATATGCTATACGTACGGGCACGCATAGCGGCGGCATGAGTCGCTCAGGGGCGTAACGTCGTCGATCCGAGAGAAGAGGAAAGGAAAAGAAAGGAATGTATAGCTGCGTCTTCCTGCTGGCTCTTCCGCGCGTTTCCTTAGCGAGACTCAAAGCGAGGCTGTTGCCGTTAGAACTCCATATTAATCAAAGTAACGCATTTTTTTAGCTGAACAAATGCTGACAATCATGTCTTGACTGCTTTCTTATTCCGTTTTTTCTATTGGTGGCTATTTCAGCCATCTTGACTCAATTGATCTATCATTATTCAACAAATGATTCTTTAATTCTTTGTGATGCTGTCAGGTGAATTTTCAATTTTGAATTGTTCTGCTCAAATTCGGACAAAAAATGGAAAACATTACGGATCGTGTCATTGTAAAATCGTATTTTTGAGCGTTAAAAGAGTGTACCAGAAATTTTTTGAAAATTTGTAGAGTTCAAAATCCTTTGAAAAACACAATCAGGCAGCAATGACTCGGTTGGACTAGGAAAGAAGTGAAAAAAAAAAAACATGTGATTAATATGATATAATTATTAAGACGATCTTTCGTGTTAAGGCCGAAGTACAAGCCTTTGCATAACACATAATGCATAAAGCATAAAGAAATCAATCAATCAGAATCTTTTATTTCACGAAAAGGAAGGAAATGAGGTACTCTGATTGGTTCATTTTCTCATGCATTATATACGTTATTAGCAAGACTGTGCTTCCTCCTTATTTTTATCAATATACCCAGAAGGACTTTATGTCGCCGCCGAGGAGACGCTCTTTTGTCCTCGGAGCGGTGTTAGAACGCGAACAAGTTTAGTCCCGACAATCCGATGGGGTGTTTCACGAGAGTCGGCGCCGCATCGTTACGTCCCGCCGTGCGCATTTGTATACACACCACGATGACAAGGCCAGGATGGAATAAAGGATAGATCCCGGAAAAGAGATAGGATGAGGGATAATAGACGGCGCCGCGTCGTCGCCTTTCGCACGCGTCTCTGAAATTTGAGCTGTCGCGTCGTCTCGCAAAGGCGATTACGCGTGTACCGGCTCACTGCTGTCGGCGCGCACCGACGTGACGTTACGAGTGATCGTATTACGTTCGACGTAATCATCGAAAGTAATATTACACCGCCGCGGCTCCCGATTAAGCATGTCAACGCCTAACGAATTTATGGTAGATTGATTGACAAAAATAACGAAAGAAATGTTTGATTCTTCCCGTATAGATGGATTTGTTCTTGAAAGCCGCTGAAAATTAAAGTCGTAACCTTTAAGTAGGTGAGGTGATTATAGACAGGTATTTACAATCGATTCTTATACTTGTCTTAAGTTAAATACAATTTTAAGATGTGTGAAGCAATTTGCTTCGAAATCGATATTCATAATGCTTCTTATTTTAAGATCTTAAATTGTTTTAAGAGGCTAATATAGCTTTCTGATTGATTCATGACATCTGTATTGAAGACGATCTTATAGTAATAACCGATTATGAATACCGGCCATCTTAAAATAAATAATTTTTCTAAACTTTATTCTGAAAAAAAAAAAAAAAAATAAAAAGTATTTCCCGTATGTCTAAAAATTTTAAAGTTTATTATTTTTACATTTCTTTATCTTATAAGGATATAATTAATATAATTATAACTGTCAACTATAATTATAATTATTAATTACGAAATAAAAATTTTTTTGGAATATTTTAAGTCACCCTACCTACTTATTTGCGTATCTTTAATTTACCTACTTAAAAGTTAAATGTATAAATATATCGATAACATCAAAGATAACAATGTGTTGATGTTAAATTACTTCGCTATACAATCGATGCGGTTTCCGTACGCTTTTTCCCTTAAGTATTTTTAATATTCAAAATAAGTGATTAATTGTACAAGTATTAAATTTCTACAAGGGTTGACGGAACATTTTTCGCAACCTTTATAGAACGCTTATGATATTTCAATTGTCGCGTATTTCTGACGGAAATATTCATCCATGACGAGAGAAAAATGCTCCGCAATAATGTCCGTCATTCATAGGAGCGATTTGTGGACCGTAGATTCTTGCGGGAAGGAGGATGAGGATACGAAGCAAGAACGCGAAATGAAGGGAGAGAAGAAATCTTCTCCGTCTTCTTTCTCCCACATCTTGTCCGTCTGTCTCACTCGACCTTTTTTTGTCTCGCTGGATTGTCATCCGCGTGCGGCGCGGGTACGCATCGCCGAATGCCGATGGAAATTGCACGGGAATAAGCCGAGTATTTTTCAATCAT